TCTAAGCACGTGTATGGCTTTTTTCGTGTATCTTATAGTTGTTTGTTCTACTCGACCTGGTAAGATGGTAACAAGAATGGTAGCTGTTTCGAAGAAAGTTCTAATCAATCTAACTTCTCTTGCTATTTGCTCTAGCTTTTTGTACTTTGCCTGGTTTTGTGTCTTTTTGTTTTGAAAATGGTAATTTTTGGGGATAGAGAATGTTATTTGCTCGAGATTTTTATATTTTGCCTGGTTTTGCTTCTTTTATTTTGAAAATGGTAATTCTGGGGGACATAGAATGTTATTTGTTCGAGTTTTTTTAACAGTTTGCCTATTTTCGTTTTTTTCTTTATTTTGGCAAAATGGTAACTTTGGGGGACATAGTATGTTATTTGCTCGAGTTTTTCATACTTTGACTATTTTCATTTCTTTCATTTTGGCAAAATGGTAACTTTGGAGGACATAGAATGTTATTTGCTCAAGTTTTTCATACTTCGCCCATTTTCGTTTTTTTTTATTTTGGCAAAATGGTAACTTTGGGGGACATAGTATGTTATTTGCTCGAGTTTTTCATACATTCCCTATTTTCGTTTCTTCTCTTTCGACAAAATGGTAACTTGGCAAATATCGGGCGTGCAACAACCCCGCGTAGTGAATCTTCGCGGGTAGTAAAGCTCCTGTAAAACGTCGAGAAGATGAGCAGGATGCAGTGGACGTAGCCTGACGTAATGCAGTGTGGGAGCGGCGAAGCAGCGAGGTTCATTGCCCTCGTCCCCGACGATCACTGTTCCCCAACAACCCTGTGTAAACGAAGGAACTCGGGACCGTTCCTGGGAAAACCTCGCTTCACCCTATCACGTCTTTAAATTCCGTTCTAATTCCTACGTACATACGTGTTTAATTGTGCTTGACAATGGTTAACTATTTTAAATACTTCAACTAGGTCTCTGGAAGCTCAGAAGAAGAAGCAGCTACAGAAGGCATTTAAATTTCTCATATACTGAAGAAACTTTATCGAACAATTTCAAGTTTTTCTATCACAAACCATCACGAATAATCTCTGACTAAATTGTGATACTAATAGAAGAAAAAAAACGGTGAACTTTCGTTCGTACAGTTTCATCAGCATGAAGAAAAAAAAGGAGCACAGCGAGGACTGGAGAGGAAGAGAAGGAAGCCATTTGACGTTCTTTTCTAAGTCTGGTCCAACGGTGGGCGTATAACGACGAAGACAATTACAGCGGTGGTAGTCCCTGGAGCAGCTCGAAAAATCCCTCGTCTTTCTTCCTCGCCGCTCGCAGGTGGGCGTAAGGTGGAAAAAAAAAAAAAAAAAAGAAAAAGAGCCAAAGCGCCCGGGAAGAAAACCACGATTTTCGTGAAACCCCGTTCCACGAGTAAGGATCGAAACCTGACTGAGCTCTCAGGTGATACCGTTAAACTGACTTCCGTCTGCCCACCTACCTACCTACCTACCTACTTTCGTCCTCGTACATCGTCCGGCACCGTCCAAGCCGCGTATTTCGCAATCCACCAACAGAGAGAATATCTCAAGTCAGGGGCTCAAAATATTTGAACGAGTGGGACTTCACCAGGCTAAATTCGTCCAAGAAAGTAATAGTGGAGACAGATAGATAGACAAAATAGATGGAGAGAGAGAGAGAGAGAAAGAGAGAGGCGTGCCTTTGCAACCAAGTATCATCGATGAAGCGAGCTTGAGAATTGTTCACCATCTCATATTCCCCTATTGCATCAACAAGTTTCGTATTTTCAAGCATTTCAGTTGATGAGCTTGACTGAAATTTACTGAAAAAGATTTCTTTTTTTTAATTAATCCTCGACGAGAGGAAAGTAACGATTGTCACGATGAAATGGGGAATTTGGACCTAAGGGCTGATTTCTAAGTGCTAGGGAATATCTGTTACCTTATTCAACATCTCTAGAGAACAATTTTTCTACATTTATTTTTCACATCGAACAGAGTGAATTATTTCACGACACGTGGCACACTTGGTAGCCACGTTGAAACGAATAAACGATTTGAAACAAAAATACATCGCTGATTAAACGGAATCCATTTTTTCAGGGCAAATATTCAATTTCACCAATTGTCTCTCCCACCTCGTTTTACACATTTTCGTTAAGAAAAGGTCGTGACAAATTCATGGAAAAAATGTATCGAATGGAAACGAGCTTGAAGCGTACACGAAGCCGCAGTTTTCCTCAGGGGAATCCTGGTACCACCGGAGTAGGTATATATATATATATACATGTTGGTACCAGCAAGTCGAGCGATCGCGCGCGCGACAATCCGGCATATAGAATAGGTCACACCCTCTGGGGACCATTATTGCCGAGCACTGTACATGCACGTGACTTGTATAGGGTCGAGACAAGTGGGTTGGTGCAGTCGTTACTGTTGTCCTCGGTACCCCCTGCTCGTTCAACGACCCCGCATGTACGCACTCTCGAACGCCGCGCGGTGTACGCATGCACGCATGCATGCACGTGACGACGGGAGGCTCGCCGCGCCGGGAGGAGAGAAGCAGGCGTAGGACGATGACAACGAAAAAGTCCGAATCGGAATGATTTCGCCTCTTTCATCCGGCGGTTTTTCAATCGTGGGGCGCCACGCATGCTCCTACCGGTAGGTACGACAATCGTCTTCCGCCCGTCGGTGAACGTCGTTGATGTGTGCTCTATGCGGTTGCTGGTGCCACACAAACTTCTACACCGTAGGAAAATGCGAAGATTTAGAAAGGAATCAACCACCTATTGTGGCGAATGTATTGGGAACGATGCGTGTGGTGTGTGTGCTCGTACGAGATACAGTGGGTAAATCGGAGAATTCTCACGAGGATAAATCGACCCCTTGTGTAAATCGGTACAAAAGCATCTCACGCGCGACTGTTTCTCTATGTATATACGTCTAAATACGTATCTATAGACGAAGGTGTGTGTGAAAGGAACGATTGTTGGGAAAAAAAAAAGAGAGAAAGGGTTCGAATGAGAGAGAGAATTTTGAAAAATCGCGCCGATTTCGTTACCACGGGTTTTCGAGGTTATGGTGCGCGCGACAGTTTCGAGCCGCGTGTGTGTTCTGCGGTTAAATGGTAACTGAGCGAGACAAAACGGCGGGGTCACGTGGGCTAGACGAAGCGGGACCAAAGGTCACGAGAGACAGGAAACGGTAGTATTGTGTACCGGATGTCGTAACTTCCGAGTCCTTTGGCCTCGGTGTGTTTTCCTTTCGGTGTGTCGAACGTGTGTAACGCGGCCAGTTGAGCGGTGTTGCCAGACCAAGAGGCACACACCGGCTAACGATAACGCTCGTCGTCCACCACAGATTTTTCTCGTATTTGAAGAAATTTCAAAATGCACGAATCAGAAGCGTTTAAGATGCACGAGTGGCTGGCGAGCGCCCTAACGCGCCCTCCTCGAGAGATCAGCCGAGCGAGCAATAGAACGAGAGAGTATGAGTGAGGTCGTGCAGTCGAGGCTTTCCGATAGGAGAGACAGAGAGATAGAACGAGCGAGAGAGACGAAAGGAGGGAAAGAAAGAGAGAGGGTGGGAGGGAGGACAGGAACGAAGAAAGAAGGGAGAGAAAGGGACAGTGGCGAGAGAACGAGAGGGAGGACACACAGCGTGAGAGGGGCGGGGGGGAGGATATAGTCGTCGTGAGCTCCTTACAGTGCATTGCCTTTACGATCCCTCGAGTCCCCGTCACACCCCGTGCCTCGACAAATCGCGTACGACGTGCCTCTCATGAAGAGATCCACGAAACCAGCTTCGCCGTCGAGCGATTCGGGTCGTCGAGATTCATCGAGAGGAAGAGTTTCTGTATGCGTGACAATGAACACGAAAGTATCGACGACGTGTGCGTCTCTCTCTCTCTGGGCATAACAGGGTATAGGCGCACCCCATACGCTAGAGTTGATCTTCACTTGGAAGCAAAAGAGCTGATCTCCTGCGCGGCGGCGGCGACGACGACGACGACGTTCTTCTTTCGTTCCCCTCGAGAACACTGAACACACGCGTCTACCGCGTCTACAGTGGAGACTTTCACCGGTATGTTGTACACGTTTCGAGGGTAACAAGATTATCGTGTCGGCCTCACTCAATTCTCAATTTACATTTCTCACTTTGAGAGAAGAACGATGAAATTTCTTCGAAATTCCACTTCTTATTACGATTACACGAATTGATAAAAGAGGTGTTGCGAGAGAGAGAGAGAGAGGGAGGGGGGAGTGAGAGAGAGAATTCTCTATGATGAAATCTTATTGAAAAGTTTAAATATTTCTCGGGAAACGGAAAATCCTATATTGCGAAGCATCGTAAATTACGGGAAGGATTTCGAGGTTCCCGGGATTCGTTCCAATTCTATTGTTCAGGTACCGAGACTTGTACGCTTTCGAAAACGATTTACAAGTCGAAATGGTTTATAGCATCTAAAATAGGTTCTTCGAGTAGGAACTTTCGAAACAGCCACGTTTCACGGCGCACGAGCGCCTTCGCAAGAGGGGAGCACAAAGATGTGTTCGTCCTCATCCCCACCACCCCCATTCGCTCCATCTTGCTCGGCACGTTTCTCATCTCGATGTAACGACAAATACGTCGCTTCCTTGTCGCCCGCATTTCATATAATATATGGTTCGATACGTATTGTATGTTACACGTACATGCATATACCTGTTCGATTTGATTTGTTTTCTGCGCCGTGTAGGTTCTTGATAAAGATAGTCGGCAAAGTAGGAAAAGAACGGATTACACAGAAACAAACGCTTGACTGATAAAAAAGATGTAACATCCAGTGTTAGTCAAGTAGCACCGGTAGTACCGTAATTCGTGGATTCGTCGGTTGTCCTGTTTCACCTGTGCCTGCAGTTCACACCGGTTCACGCCCTTCTTCTTTTACATCGCTCTCACTAACGGTTAATCGACGTCGACCACTTCTTGCGTTCGAAAGAAAATCGAATGCACAACCAGCGCCATCGAGTGACGATATCTCGTAACGAATTTTGCCGCCCCCGTTTCTTCGTTCTTACGATCTGAGATACTGTTCAATGTATAAGCTAAGAATTATGAGCATGTGAATAAGTTAATTGAATGTTTTAAAAGAATGGCACTGTTACTCAACAAATTCAAATTTCCACAATTGATGAAAGTACCTGTTCGGTACAAAGCGAAAGAACATTGGGTTTGTGTCATCATAACCCTGTGATTAGAACACAATTATTTTCTTTCAAATACTTTGAAACGAATATATAATTGTTTTTTACAGGCTAAACTAAGAAAAAAGAAAACACCTACAGATAAGGCACTGGAACATTTTGATGATTTTTATGCATCAGTCTATCAAGACAGTTGGCCAAATATACGTGCTGCATTATTAAAAGAAGAATGTAAATATATGGCTATTGTTAATAATTTTAGTGATACAGAAAGGATACAATCTGATTTAGAGGTAAATTATTATTAACAATATTAACGGTACTAAAGTAACATTAATGACACTAAAAACTTAGCCATGAAAATTAAGGATATTGAAAATTCTTGCAAACAAAATTATTTCAGTTACTTGGTACAATAAATTTGGAAAATTTATATAATACTCAAAAAGACAATGTTCGTTTCCTTAATGCTGTAAAGAAATCTGAAATGAGTAAATTACAAAAGGAAAATAATTCAATAGATGCAACGAATACATCTAAAGATCAGTTAGATGAACTTGAGAAAATTTACTCTACTAATTCTCTAAATGTATTAGAAGGATTAAGAGCAGAAGATACTGAAACTGTTAAGGAAGATAGGTCAGTACCTGTAAAATTACAATCTATAGAAGATGATTTAAATGAAATCAATCTAGATACTAATCGTATTATCAATTCCTCTGTAAATTTATCTTCACTTCATGAGTATATACCTGCTACAAAAATAAAAGGTCAGTTTGATTAATATACTGCTTTAACTGAGTATCAAATATTATAACTTAACAAATTTATTTTATAGGTTTGGATGACTGGGTTTTGGAGTCTGACCATTATAAGTTTTATGGTAAGGCTGCTGACCATCAGACAAATATTGAGAAAGAATCTGTTCTATCATTTCCAAAACACTTACATGCATATACTTATGAAAGAGGAAATAATACCAGATTTCCAAACCCTAAAAAAGGATCTACTGGTGTTTTAGGTTTTTATTATTTTCATTAATTCTTTATTACAATAAAAAATTAAATATATATACATTCCAAAATTACATAATCATATGTACATAAATATTATTGATATAAACGTTTTATTTCTTAGATTATTATTTATTTGATGGTGGATCTATACTTCCTGTATTAGCTCTAGATATACAATTAGGTGATACTGTATTGGATATGTGTGCTGCACCTGGAGGGAAAGCTTTGACTATTCTTCAGACTCTTCTGCCTCGAACATTGGTTGCTAACGATATTCAGCGATCTAGAGTGAATAGGATAAAAGGGGTTATGAATCAATATGTTTCAGATGTGTATAAGACAGAAAAGATGATGTTTATAACAGAACAGGATGCTAGAGCAATTGATGAAACAAATATATATAATAAGGTGCCAATTTTACTAAAATATTGCTTAATAGTTAAGACTTTGAAAAAGTATAAATATTGTGACATGCATTTATTAATTTTTTCAGATTCTAGTTGATGTACCATGTACAACAGATAGGCATATTTTGCATTCTGATGACAATAATATTTTTAAACCATCTAGACTTAAAGAAAGATTAAGAATGCCGGAACTTCAGTCAGAGATTTTAACGTCAGTATATAAAATATAATTTGCGTTGTTTTTTTGTTTTTATTGCATAATCATCAATGTGTTTTTTTTTTTTTTTATAGAAATGCATTAAAATTGGTGTCAGTGGGGGGTACAGTTGTTTATTCAACATGTTCTCTTAGTCCTATACAAAATGATGGTGTTGTACAGGTAGCACTGCAAAAAGCATACCAAGAAAGTGATTGCGATCTGGTCGTAAAGTATGTACCGCCGTATACTTTTCTAAAAAAATAATGTTACTATTTTATTGTTTATATCGACTGTTGGTACATTTTATAATTTTTGTAGAGACATGACAGAAGCATTAGTACCCTTGCAGTATATATATCAATTTGGTAATATCGGTTCAAAGTATGGTCACATTGTTATTCCCAGTATCAAAAACAACTGGGGACCGATGTATTTTTGTAAAATTGTAAAGATACAGTGAAGGTGAGTGACGGATAGTTCACATTAAATAATTTGTACTTATAATGTAAATATCATTATTACTAATAACATATTACTTTCAGGAAAGTAATATTTTATGTAGTATTTGTACAATTTTAATATCTATTATAGTAAGTAAAATAATCTCTTTTGTATAAAAGAACAATTAAGGTTTTCATACGATATACGTCCCAAAAATTTTGTTTATAATAATACTACATTAGTATTATATTCGTAAAATTCATTAGAAATTGCATCATATTGCACGTCTCAAAGTTACATTCATTTTCTAGAATCTACTTTTAGCGGTAATGTTTGATCATTCTTTTCTTCATCGGTTGGTTTAGTTTTGTTCCAAGGTTGTTCTTCTCCACTTCCAAAAATTGTATAAACTATTATTTCTACTATGTACAAAGTAGCAGTTGCAAAAAATATAATCTTCCACGCTCCTATAGTTTGCTGTAAACATTATTATTAATGTTAATAATAATATTGCGATTACGAAAATAAGATATGCAACAACAAACGAAATAAGTTCACTGGTCCAAATGCTTTGTTGCATTTGATGTGTTTCTCGATATTTTAATTACACTTAAACAATCATCTTATCGACACAATCGATAATATTTTATTATAAATACGTTATATAAGGTTTATTATAAATACTTACATTTCCATGCGTTAATTTTCCTACAAATATAGGCACTACGAATCCAGGTATAGTCGCAACGCAATTTGTAATGGCAACAAGGGTACCAGCAAAATTCGGAGCAATATCAATGTGGTTTGATAAGAATCCACTATACATTCCACCAATACAAGTTACTCCAATGGTCATTAATATGACAGCTAACGTTCGGTTACAGCCAACATAAGATACTGCTATTAAGCAAATCATGGGGACAACAGATGCTGAAAATAAAAACGTTTTAAACAATTAATAGTTGAATGAGGCCTATATTTTCAAGATACATACGTATTGTGCAATATACATACAAAATAACGTTCCAATTTTTCTCGATACTGTTACAGTAATCAATTTTTTATCTTGCATAACGGCTAATATCTTGCTAAGAATTATAGTGAAAATCCACATACATAAGAATGGCATGGAAGAGACACCAGCATTCTTTGAATAAAGGCAACATGTTAGTAACAGTGGCGCGAATTATAAAGTGTTATCGATTTGCTTATCGAATGCTCACCGAACTCATGTCGAACTTTAATATTTGATTCATAAAAGTGGGCAGCTCAATAAGCAACATGTACCATCCAAAATTACTGCAGAAGTGGGCAATTAAAATTGCCATGAATGGTTTAGATCGTAGTACTTCTCCCCATGGAACTGGTAATTTCTGTGATAAAAGAGCAACATATTTAAATATATACTATATGTGCATCTATAGATTATCAGTTCTTTAAAATTTGATGAACCTCTTTATGTCCACTACTATTCTTAGTATGATTCAAAGATTGCATAATATAGTCCTTTTCTTCTTGACTAATAAACCTCGTTTGCTCTTCAGGACTGTCTTCGATCATTATCCACCAGGCAGTGCACCAAATTAAACAAAGTGCAGCTTCTATGTAAAATACCCATACCCAATCAAAATTTGCAGCTATTATTCCCGTTAGGAGTATAGAAATCACGGTGCCCAGTGCAGTTCCTACGGAAGATAAAAATAATTAATTTTAGTAGTGCAAAATAAGTGTTAGATTTACTCTTAGTGGATCTTTTATTCAACTCATTTCTCCTGCATATTTTACCTGCATAAACAATTGAAGCAAGAATACTTCTCTCGTTTGGTGGAGCCCATTTAGCCACCATCGCGTGCATTGCAGGAAATGTTACACCCTATAGTTCAATCAAAGATTATTATGTTTTGTATAATACTCCAGTAATTACATCAAACGCATAGTAATTCTTTTTTAATGCTAACCCCGCCAATTCCTTGAATAAATCTCATTGCGATAAATAGTGTATAGTGTATTTCAGCAGCAACAGGTGATAATATAGATGCTACGACGTTTAGAAGCACTGATCCGTTCATCACCCATTTTGCTGATAACAGATCAGCCATTCTTCCGCCTGGAAGTAAGGATAGCATGTATCCCCAAAAATATGCTGATAAAATAAGTCCTTGTAAAGGTTCGTTCCATACGAATGGTCCATCCTATGTAAACACATATGAATCTTAATATCTGTGGTATCTTTAACAATAACTTCTATTTATTTTTTATAACTTGACACACAGAATAAATGTAAAAACTAAAATAGAGGAAACTCAATTAGTTTATATACCTTGGTACTAATTTTCGTTGCATTCGATGTATTATTCTCTCGACATTCATCCACGGGAACAGCAGTTGTATTCTCAGATTCCAACATATGCAGTGTGGATAATTTTACAGCAGTGTGGTTTACCATAGCTACGATTGCCACACTTACGTTTACTTTAAATCCGTAGACGATGGCGAGTCCGATAGAACCCATAATTGCCATCAAGTATCGTATAGGAAACATAATTCGTCTTGTTTCTACAAATACCTATATTTAAAAAAAACAACGTGTCTATTATTCGTAAATAAAGAAATTTATTTTTAAAAGTTGCGCGCTCGATTGTTAATGAGATCTATCTTGGGGAGAGAATCGTACGGTAAGATACAAAGAGGAGGACGTGCCTTTTGGCATGACACACAGGTGAACGTGTCTTCAGGTCTTCGACTCTATCAGTACGATTCCAAAATTACGTACACGGAAAAATGATTTTTCCTTATCTTTCTGACCGGATATAATATAAATAGTTTACCGTGAATCACAAAAATATCTTGGAACGAACAAATTCGAAGGACAGATAAAATTAATCTATGATAAATAATATTGCATTTGTTCCTGAATGTACAACGTGACTCTTGCATTTTTAAATTTATATTTTATTTTCAGTTTTTGATTTAGAAAAATTCTCTGAGATTATTCTAAGCGTGATTTACATTCGAGGATTATAAAAAATTAGATGAGTATTTTAATATCGTCGTGGATAATGTGAAGAAACGTTTTAGCTACAAATTTCTATCAAGTTAAAAAAGAAGTTATAAAACAGCAAATATAGATTAGTGAACTATTGGAAATTATGAGAATGATTAGGATCTACAGGTGATGTTACTGATAAACGGTTGTAAGTTGCATCAGTCATGCGCCTAGAGGCAACGTGCTTTATGAGCATATAATTCTTTCAGTTTGAATTACATCATTCGTTTCATTTTCCAATTGTTTCGATAATATGAACACTATACTTTCTTCTAATATTCGTATTACTCTTATAGAATTGCCCAAAATAATATCTGATATTATGGTATTCTGGATTAGAGGACGCTTGAAGGTCACAGGAGTGGAGAGGAGAGCCTTTATAAACGAGATGAAATTTTCAAAAACTGGAAAGAAAGAAATTTTTTCGATTTTTTGAAACTGTTAATCTCTAATCAGCCCTAATCTCTAAATTTAGAATATATTAACGATAAAGGACTATAATTACATACCCTTGAAAACGTCTTCCAATCAGCAGCCTCCACTGAGAATTTTCACTGTTTTAAAAGATAGCTTTTTCTTCGGAACAGTTATAGAATCAATTCGTTTAATTTATATTAACTGAAAATTGAAAATATTAAAAAATTTATAGTTAACTATTTAGCCACTTGTTGTTTTAAATTTCGAGATATTCACCTTCGATGAGAGAAGGAAATATGTAAAGTTAGATTTTCCCGGTGTATTTGTTTGACTGTAATCGATTACCAATACGATACGGGGGAAAAGTTTAAATTAAGAACCGTCGTTTCCTCCAGTTCGATTTCTCGTGCGTGCAACGTACCACTGACACTGTGAGAGCAAATGCGGTGTCTCAGATGCTCCAAGCCTTTCGAAGGAGTATCGGGCGTGCGCCTCTTCTAAAAATGCCATAGCATGCGTGAACACAGGCACGGTTCACAATTTTCGAAACACCTACGTTTCTGATCATATGCTCGTATTTACATAGAACGTGTTTATTTATTCCAAGAACTTTACATACCTTTCACTTTTAGTCAAATGCAAGAACAAGCGTGTACTGTTTAATTTTGCGCTTACTCAAATACTGTTGCACGTAACAATTATCCACTACTGCCTTGGTTGCAATAAAAGTTCGTTTCTTTGGCAACGTGCAACGCAAAATTTTCTTCTTTCTCATAATCTTATGTTATTTTTATAATTATAAATTATTTTTCAATATTTATATATTTTTCAATAATCTT